AATAATCCTTATTTAATAATAATTGTCAGTGGTTGTTCATACACCTACAAGTCCTTTGGATCTTGAAGGCTTGGGACATGGTCAATGCCTACTTGAGGGAGGAATTCCTGAAGTTCATTCACTCCTGATCAGCATGACTCAAGGGAGGCAGCTGCCTTCTAAAAGGGCATGTCCTGTGTTTCAAGGATTCTCAGTAGCTCCCAGCCCAAGGGATTGCCTACAACACATTGGGCTGAACTATTTTGGTACCTGGCGAGCGTCTGTGGGTGTGTCATGGTGGTTGTGTGGCTCTAGCCAGCAGTCTGCAAGAGGAACAGAGAGGGAAGTGTTCAGATCATGCAGAGTTTCAGCCCTGGAGGCATTGCATGGAGCTGCTAATGCTTACAAAGTGCCTGGGTAAAAGGGTGTAATCGAGTGAGCTGTGACTACAGGAAAAGTTATTAATTGCAACCGTAGGTGGCTGATAGTCTTCCTCAGCCTCAGGTGAGGTTGGTGTCCTCAGGTATACAGAGCTCTGGCAGGGCATGTGTGAAGAGCCATGAACCAAAGCAAGCTGATGATAGGAAAATTCCCTTGGCCATGGGCTGATGGAACTGGTCAGCATACATACTTACATATTAGTATGTGCTAAATCTCAGCCTATTGCTGAAGTGTTCGTGGGCTCCCTGAAGTTGTCTGCTTTGGAGAGCTGCAGCAGAGGAGGAGGGAGCTGGTAGTTCCCACACAGACCCTGCTGTAGCTTTTTCTGGAGGTTTCATAACAGAATTAAGCAATTTGTGTTGCATGTTGCCATGGAGACCGTAAATCACTGTCGTGCTGGGCTTCTCAGTCAGGGAGCCAGCATCTTTAATTGCACTAACCTCCCCTGCAAATCCAGGGCTTGGTTCTGAGCTTGTTGACCTTCTGTAATGGCTTTGCCCTGAGAGCTCTTCCTCCAGGACAGCACAGCTGGAACCAGGGAGAGGGGTGCCAACACACAGAATATCAACTATCTGAGGTCCATTTTATTATTGTCATATGTGGCCACAACTCTGCTCCGATGAACAGAAATTGCAGTGATTTACAGAAGCTGAGATCTGACCCACTTGCATTCAGGGCAAGTTTTGCAAGGAGAATAGGGATTAGATATACTGTGTATATTTTGTGGGTACCTATTTGGGCTTGGTGGTCCAGTCACAAACTAAGCTGAATTTGGGGTTTTTATGTTACCTGGCTGCTCCAAGGGGATAGCTCAGCCCTTCCATTCCATCCCCATGCCCAGACAGGTAAATGGGGTTTTATGCAGTTTATTCTGAATCGATAAAAATATCATTTTTGCTGAGGAGACTCAGCCTCAGTGATACTCTTGGATCAGTGTTTCTCTTTTTTCCTTGCCATCTACCCCAGAAGTAGCCACATTTCTGACTGTCTCAGCATTACTGGCTTGTGCTGTCAGGACACTGATCTTGCCAGTGGGTATGAAGATGGTTGTATAAATCAGCCTCCTTCCAGTGACTTACCCAGAGCCCTGATGGCATTTGTCAGCATAGGGTATGGATCCTTCTCTTGGCTCCTTCAAAATAAACAACTATATAAATTGTATGATTATCATCAGAACTTATTAGCGTATTACCACATGCTGCTTTGTATTCAGACAATAGATAAAAACATTTGTGTTTCGTTTTTCCCAATCAGATCTACAGCAAACACGCTTATTCTTGCTCCCATCTGAGGAGGACTGTGTCAGTACTCTTGCCAAAAGCAGATGAAAATCAGCCCAAGTCTTGTGCAGTTGCCTGTAGTGACATAACCAGATGGTGCAGAAGCTCTGTGCACCTTTGGGAGTGCTTAGTGTTTTCCAGGAGGTGATACATGTTGTTTTAAAGGTTTGATTCACTGGATGGTTAAGATGATAATCTTGTCAAGGCATGAGTTGTCTTCTTGCCTTGCTTATCAGGGCAGGTGGAGGGGTAGAGGGACTGAAGTACTTGGCTTTCAGAGGGTTTTCGTTATGTACATGCATGATGGGAGCATGGGACTTGCTGTCTCCATAGAAAGAGGAGGGTTTCCATGACCAGTAGAAACAATCCTGCAGAAACATCTAGACTTGCTACCTTTTGACACTCAATGGAAGTTTTCATCTATTCATGCTAGCATCACCTAAAATACAGGGGGTTGTGCTCAACAAATCAGACTGCACTTCTTGACTTACTTTTATTTATTTTTTTTTTTTTGAGTTCAGTTCCTGCTGTTCTCCCCAGGCTACATAATACTCAGTCTGGTAGCTGAGACACACAGTATGACCAAACTTCTGGAAATGATGGGAAGCAAATGCCCTGATTCAACCAATAAGTGTGTGGGGCAGAGACACAGTTTGTACAATGGGCTAAACATTATTCTAGGACTTTGGGGAGCATTTCATGCAAGATAAGCTTAAGGCTTCTTAGGAGCGATTTAAAGGGGCTGGTACAAAATGTCAATGAAAGTGTAATGCTTGTCTGCTGAGCAACAGCTTGTGGTTTTGTCATGAGGTCAAAAATCTTGTACAAACGGAGTATGCTTTTCACATCCCCAGACTGTCCCCACCACGTCATTAACAATCAGTCCTTCATACTGCCTGGGCAGAGGAGGATGGGGTGAAACCTTGGCCATGGGCAAAGCAAAAAATTGTTGTCAAATGTGTTGGAAGGGGGGACAGAGTTTTAGCCAGGGTCTGTGTCCCAAAAAGCCTGTGAGAATCATCTGACCCAAGCAGGATTATGCAGAAATAAAAGTTGGTCCTCCAACAAAAATGAGACAGTTGAAATTCATAGGTTTTTCTGCAACCAAGCCTGCTGCATATTAATGTGTGGTCTTGTAAATATGAGAAAGTTTCTTACTCAAAAATAGGAGTAAGAAACTTTTCTTTGGAATTGTAGTGAAGAACTGCAGTAAGACTGTTTGAAACCTCAGGTAGTGCTTGGCCTCCTTCTCCCCATCCAGCAGCTGTTGCTCCAAAGGTAGTTTAGAAACAAGCAGACTTGATTATGCTTCTTCTTGCTCTGAAAATGTTGGCTTGTCTCAACTTGGACAAGAGGCCTTTGCAGTTCTCAGGCTCAGCAATCTCATCCTCTGTTTCCTCCTTATGGGCTTTTCTTTTTAGAGGAGAAACTAAGCCCTCTCTCAAGGTATGGGGTTTCCCGTGTACAGAAAGAACAGAATATGTTAATAGCCAGCTTGCCAGCTCAAAAGTGCCTTTTATGGTTCAATATTTTGGATTAAACTCAAATAATGATTTTGGAGAAAGGACTAGAGAAACCAGAAACTAAACTTGGATTATGGGATTATGTTCTTGTCTGTTTGAAAAGTAGTCCAAGTTGGCTTTGGGGCCTCTTCAGAAGTGAAGCGTCAAAGTGTTGTGTTTGGAAAACAGAGAAAATGAAAGAATTTTGGGAAGAATGGGGGGCTAGTTTATACTATAGGCTGAAAAAAATCCCATTAGTCAGCATTCAACTTGCACTGTGGGTGTGGCAGTCTCAGCTTCTGTACAACACCTGGCACAGCTGTGGCACTGAGCACACCAGCCTAGTTTGGTGGTTTCTGAGAATGGAAATGTTGAAGTTGTCTTCCTAGTGAACAAGAAAACCCTAGAGTTATTGGGAAGGCCTCCAAAAGCTTGTGTGGGGTGGTGGGAATATAGATTGGGAGCCAACAGTATGGAGGTTCCCTCTGAGCAGTCTTCATCGCCCCTCAGTGCTGACCCCAACCAGCACCTGCAGCCCAAAGGGCACCAGCTAAACCAGAATGGATGGGAGCAGGTGGCTGCAGAAATTGTCACCACAGCTGCTCCTGCTCTGAATAGCTTTTTTCAGGAAAACCAGTACCAAGGAAATCAGCTGCCTTCTCTTGAGCCTTATCATTACAATGGATTTTTTTATTATTATTATTATTATTTTCTTTTTAACTGTGTGAAAGACTTCCCAGAAAATGCAGCGGTCATTCAGATCTGGGAGATGGCCACCCATTTCCTTTGTGATTTGAGTGATCACTGCTTCCCACGGGTGGGTGGAGGGAACTGCCTTCCACAGCATGTGTACAGAACCTCCTGCCTGGCTTCTACTTAAATGAGCAGTCACTGCTGCTGAGTGTTGGAAAGGGCTGTTCAGCAATGGCTGCCTCTTCTCTTTTATCCACACACATGTGCCATTGCCCAGTTACAGCCAGTGAATTTTTTTCTTCTTTCTTTTGAGTCAGTTCTGAGGTGAGAGGAGTGGTGTGACCATGCTGCAGGGAGGCTGCTTTCCTGCCTGTTTCACAGCCACAGACACCAGCTTTCCTGCCATGGCAGGGTGGAGGTTTGTTTTTTTTTTTTTAAAAAAAGGGCAAACCAAAAACCACCTATCATTCCTGGCCTGCTGCCTTCTCATTTTTATTTCTCAAACTTGAAAATGAGGGGGAAGAAAATAGCTAAGTGCATTTTTGTCTGCTGGTGGAGCCAGGATGGGACCTTTAACTCTGGTTCCATCCATCACTGCCAGTTCTGCCTGCAGATCTGGCCCAAGGATGTAACACACCATCTAATGTTTCCTGTACCTTGGGTTAAGCAGTGAAGAATAGCACAGCTCTGTCTTACCAACAAGATTTGGTCACTGGCAATGGGAAACTGTCTGGAGATTGACAGCTGCACTCAGCCAGGGTGATTTTTGTCATGGTCGTGTGGATCCAGCCCCTATAGGAAAGGTATTCAGTAAGTTTTCAGTCATAAGTTTTGCATGTGCATTTGGTGGCAATTAGCAATCCTTGTAGACAAGTCAGGAGTAAACAAGCCACAGCAGTGGAGTTGTCTGCACTTCTAAGTGCTGGGTTTGAGCTGGGGTAGAGCTCTTGGGAAGGGTCAGTGCAGCAGCTCCTGTCTAAAACGATTTTGGATGAAAGGGCTGCCTTCATTCTCACTTCTTAGGCAGCAGGTAAAAGCTGCCTTATGCATATTGCCCTGTTTTCATTGCTGACGAGTGATTGGAGATGATTTCTTTCTCCAGCAGGTTTAGCACACTGGAAGCATGGCTACAAGTGCTGTTCCCAGCGAAAACCTCCCCACATACAAGCTGGTGGTTGTTGGAGATGGTGGTGTGGGGAAGAGTGCTCTCACCATTCAGTTTTTCCAGAAGATTTTTGTGCCGGACTATGACCCAACTATTGAAGACTCCTACCTGAAGCACACAGAAATAGATGGGCAGTGGGCAATTCTTGATGGTAAGCAAGCTACTCTTGTACTTTTCATTCTAGCTGAGCGTAAGTGCAAATAGACGTCCCACAGCATGTTGTGTCCTTGTGTCCCTCCTGCTCTGCTGTGGGCTGGCAAATTTGAGCACAGGCTGGCCTCTGAGCTGTGGTGCATGGTCTGCAGCTGGTATCCAGCAAAGCTTCTGCTTCCAGTTGCGTTGTTTCCAGTTCTGCACAGAAATGTTTCTTGCAGGACTGTAAAAACCTACAGATAATCATTGACATTTAGAGCAGGCTTCTACAAAGAGTGAATTATAACACTGCCAGGTGGCTATTGCTAATGATACTTCATTGTGGTTGAGCTCATCCCCTGGGAAATAACAGTGAGTGGGTAACTGAGTGAGGGTTATAACCAGAAAGAACATTTAATCAAAACTATTGTCCACTGACAGTGAAGAATTGTTACACCTCTTAACTCCCATCATTCAGGTGTGATGTTTTCATCTCTAATTACCTGTTTCATTTAAATACTGGTAGGGAACCAGCCTAGAGATCTGTTGTAAGCAAGAGTTTTCAGTTCTTTGAAGAAAAACTGCCTTTTTGTTTGTTTTTTCTAACAAAACAAACAAAAATGAAACAGAAAACACAAACAAACAAAGTGGAACAAAAAAAACTGCCACACTCTTAAAAAAACCAAAACCAAAGTTTCTTGATTAGCAGGTGAGGAGAAAGCCCTGTATTACCTAAAGCTGCAACTTGTTTGTTTGTGCTGCATGAGTCAGACTAAACACAGCTATAAGGGGAATTTCTCTGTTAAATGTTGTAAGTTTTTTGTTTTGCTTTATGCAAGAATTAGGTAGTACATAAAAGCAAGCAAATATTTTGTGCCTTAATTACCAAAGTGCATGGATGTGGCCATTAACACAACTGAACTAAATCTAGCCTCACTTGTGCCAAGTTCCTACCTCCACCCTCTTGTCAAGAAGGTGCTCAAGATCTTAGATGTCTCTGCATATGTGTTGTTGCTGTGTGGGAACAGAAAGCTGGGAGATTGTCATGAGTGATGGAATGTGGATGCCGGTGGGATTTGCTGTGAAGAGTGTTGGCTTGGTCTGGAAACTTGAGATCTTACTCACACTTTTAAGGATTTATCAGATATGTGAGTACAAATGGCTGCAAAGTCCTTACAAGAACAGCCTTTACTCAGTATTAAAAACCAAAATCAACAAACAACCAAACAACGTAATCTTGCCAACACTTGTTCATTTGAATATGTTAATAGTTGATGTGAGGGAGTATTTGTGAAATTGGTGCTGAAATGTGTCTGTCATTGTCATCTGCACCAGCGATACCTGCTCCCAGTTAACCATCACATAATGTACCGGTGCACCTTTATTTTTAAAATGCTAGTGCTGTATAAAAGAAAAATCCAATCCTTCTGTAAATTAAATCCATTGTTTTTAGTCCAGAATCCAGCCCTCTGAAATGAGCAACCTTTACCTCTGCTGGTATGCCCCGTGTTCTGGTATAACAGTACTAGCTGCTGTACACATTGGTATTGGCTGAAACAGTCTTGGCTTTGTAAATTATTTAAAAGTAGAAAAGGCATCTTTCACTGAATATTTGGAATTTTTGTTTAAACAAAAAAAAACCCCAAAACACAAATCTGACCTGGGTGGGAGTGGAGAAAGAAATTGTTTTTCAACAAGCAGAAACTTACCCTTTCTTTTAATGAAAAAGCCTTTCTTTTGCTCAGATGGAGTTCAGTGGCTGTACTTGGCCTGAACTGAATTCAGCCATGGCCTTGAGTGGCATGCTGGGAATCCCTGGCTTTCAGAGTTAGCGTGCCCACAGATGCCTCATAGCCAGAGAAGAGAAACTGCAGCTTCTCCTCCTCTTTCCTACCACTTGAGATTCTGAACAATCAAAATGAGGGAAGAAGGCAATATTCTCACTTGGAAAAGCATGAGCCTTTACTCTCAGCTCAGTAGACACAGGGCATAAAGACTGACTATCACACATGTCTTCTGCCACAGCTCTCTGTCATAAGATTTGGATCTAGGCTATTCTCAGAGTTCACCATCTACTGGGACAGCTGCTCTTGTTGTGGTTACATGAATCACTCATGGTATAAAATTAGGGACAAACATGATAGGAAGGGTAAAGATGCATCATGGTGAATTCTAGACTTTCCAGTTGTCCTTTATGACCAAATCCTTTACAAGCTGATGTTTCATGCAGTGCTTGGTAGGGAGAAGCAGCTGCCCACCCCCAAAATAGGTTTTAGAACATGAGACTACCAAATGAGGATATAACATGAGGGGATGCATAAGTTTCTAAGTTTTCAAATGAAAACAGTTATTATTAAAAAAAAGCCAAATACATTGACATCCAACAACTTTAAAAAAATAAAAAAAAAAAAAAAGGGAAAACAGCCCACCCTTTTCCAGGCTGTTGCCTGAGCAGTTTGTACAAAGCATCTTGAGCATTTTGTAACTGTACCAGCATTATGTTGTAAAAAACCCTTCTGCTAGCCAGCTTGCATAAAGCATTTGGCTTCCCTCCATGAAGACCTCCACCCACATTTATTCAATAGCAGTAACTGGCAGTGTGATGAAATGTTTGACTAGCATTTCTTTCCTTTGCTGAAATCTCTCACTGAAAGTAGGCTGAAATGAAATAGGCTTTTATTTCAGATTTTAGATCTTGGAGCCAAACTTACATTCAAACTCCTACTTTACATGTTTGCTTTCTGTTTTGGGATTGTCTCTGTACCTATTTTTCTCACCAAAGAAGAGTCTGTGATAGTTCCCTGCCTCCCAGATGATTGTGGGACCTGTGCTTGTTGTAGTCAGGTCCAGCACTATGTGAAAACACTTCATTGTTGACCTTATGCCAGCTTTAGAAGATGGTCAGTGCAGTATTTGGAGGACAAGTGCTGTAGAGTGGAAGAGGGCACTTAACCCAAATCAGAGATGCACAGGCAATTGGTGACTCGCCCATTTTTTGCTTGCTGCCACTCTAACAAACATTAAGAGCAGCCTCCATTTTTCTCAGCATATGTTATCTCTATTTATTCCCTGCTGGTCACACTGATATCAGCACAGTGATGTGCTCAGTGAAATGCATACACACACAGGTGTGTACAGACACATCAGGTCAGAATTAAGTGGGGGCCAGGGCTAATCTGCTTTGCTCAGCTTTTGCTCCAGCTGAGTTGTGATGATTAATTTTGTACGGTCCTTTCTGTGCGCAGGCTAACTTAGCAAGTAGCAGAGGATTCCTTGTGGTGTGGCTGCAAACTGCCAGTCTGGAATTATTAATCTGGGAGTGAAGCCAAAAGTGGAATACCTTAATATGGCAAAAAATACCCAGTGGTTCAAAATTCCTTTTGGCTCATAAACCACACAGAGGGAGATGAAGAGAAGACCACAAGTACATGGCTTGGGCATGTTGGTGAATTGAGCTGAACTCTTGGCTGTCAGTAGGGCTGTGCCAATTGATACCAGCAAAGCAAGGAATTGTGTATCCTGTGCATCCCTTTTTGTCGAGGAGTTTTGCTGCTAATCATCCCTGGGCAGGCTGCTGCTTGTCTGCTTTTCTCCTCAGGAAACTTGGGAATAAGTCAGCCAGGAGGCCAGAGGGAGATCAAAGGTCACTTCAGGCTTTCAGGCAGGAGGGTTGGTTTGTGGCTCACTCTCTTTTGTTTTTATTTAAACTTTCAGTAGCATCATTGAGAGCCTTAAAATTCAAATTAAATTTGTACTTTCATTCTTTTATTTGTGTGTACAGTATTTCCCCTCCCTTAATTGCTAGGATTTTGCAACCTTGAAAGAGGGGTTTTTGTCTTGGGTTGTGAGGAGCTTTTCCTGCCAGGAAAATTTTGATGTTGCAACATGGAAAACACAAGGCTTTGAATATTTGCCCTTTGTTAGAGAAAGAACTCCTTTAAGGGCTTGCATCTTTATTCTGTTTATTGATGTGGAAGTCTTTCTTCTAAAGGCCCCCTCTTCTTTTTCCTTAAAAAAGGACAAGGACTCAAGTACTTGGGTTTTCCATGTTGTAACATCTGTGTATTTAGTTAAGGCACAGAAGAGCTCATAAAAGCCTGAGTGTTTCCCCATCATGGGTTTTCTACTGAGGAAAGCTGTCATGCCAGAGGCAGTGTGGCTGTATCTGAGAAGCAGCAGAAGCATCAGAGTGACAAAGTGAAGAATCTGCCTTGCCTTGTGCACAACAAGGGCCCCTCATACCTCTTCAGGGTGTCTGGGGGTGTCGGTATACAGAATATGAGCTGAGTGACTCCAGTACTCTGCACAGTGCCCAGAATACCAACTCCTCAGCTGAAGCCATTGGCTGATGGGGATGCCCTCTTGCTGCTGATGGAAGGAAGACGGAGACTGTGGAGGTGGTTTTCTTCAGCCTGAGACTCTTTAGGTTGACTTGTCAATTCAAGTCAAGTTTTCGCTTGAGCTTAGGTTCAAAGCTGCAGGGCAGTGAAACCCAAAGGCTGAAGGACAGAAAATGGGTTAATCTGCCTGTCTCTTCGTCTTTGTCCCCTTAGATGCCATGGACAGTGAAGAAACTCTCTTGAGGTGACCTACACACCCAGCTGCCTGGCAATGTAAAGATAAAGACGTAGGAGGAAATTTTGCCTAGGTATGAAAAGAGTGAGGAACTCACCTGCACAACTAGATCTGAGCTCCCTGAAGGCTGGGAAGGCTGTAATTGAATCTGAACTGAATCCAGCCTAGGCTCCAGAAAAAGCAATGCCATGAGTTCATAGTATGTCTCTGCCCTTGGTTTAGATTTACATTCCTTTGTCTCTGGACAGGCACTCGGAGCACTGCCGGTTGCAGAGACATTGACACATAATATACCTTGAAGCACCAAGAGCTTCTGTTTTGGACAAATTTGTGTGTATTCCTGGGCTCCTGTGCCTGCTCAGAAGAGCTCTTTAGGCAGCTACACTCTTGTATAACCCATCAGGATTCACAGGAAAAGGGTGTGGAGAGCTCTAAGGGGGCAGGAATCAATTAGCAAGGAGTTCACAGCAGTTGGGGGTCACATCCACTGGAAAGTGGAAAAGGCCATCTCTTTGCTAAGCAACCTCTTTCCTGCAACACAGGAGACCTCCCTGCTGGGCTCTCACAACGTAATTGCTCTTAGTTTAGTCTCCAGCTGGCTTCACGATAGCTATAAATGGCTTTGCCCTCTTTGGATGTCTGTTCCTACATCAGACATAGTCCTTGGTTTCTCTCTCCTTCATCTTTACCCATGTGCTTTCATTAATTCTCCTCCTTGCTTCTTCTTTGGTCAAGTTTGTGGGAACTTTACCAAGTTTTCTGTTGGAAGTCCCTGACCATGTGCTGTGCAGCCTACAAATCTGATTTCAGTTCTTGGAAGAATGATGTAGGAGAAACCTGCTGTGTTTTGCTTCAGCCTTGTTTCTACACTGCCAGTGAGACAACTGCTGGTTTAAAGTGTACCAACTCACAGTTCTCTAGTCATGGTTATTTCTGCGTCCTCTGGCATCCTGTCTGCAGAAAAGGGAAGTTTAAATGAAGGTGAATGCTGGCTAACATGCTAAACCTCCTCACCCCTTAGGGAAGCCAGTCACTTTCCCAGTTCTACCTTCCCAAGTTTTCTCCTTGCACTTTCCAATTTCTGTAGGTAGGCGTCTTCTTGAAACTTTTATGCCACAAGATTACACCACAAGCAAAGCTGCTTACATCGGGCCCTTTTTCAGTGCTGTTGTGGTCCTATCCTGCTTACAAAGGATTCAGATTGCATTCTCCTCTGTTGTTTACTGGAGGGTTGTCTTTATGAAGAGCACACTTAAAGTTAAAACAAGGGCCTTCTCTGGCCATCCACAAGATGCTTAACTTTGCATGAATAACCTATCTGAGATTACCCTTAACCTTCTCTGCTGTGTGTCTTTTACTTGCACTTTCAAATTGCCATTTTAAATGCTGCCTGGACTTGCTCACCTTTCTATCAAAGCTGCAAGTGAATTCCCTTTAAATAGCAGCTGCTGCCACAGCAGCTCTGCCTGTGTTTAGTGTGATGCCATGGCCAAGATCCAGGTGTTGTAGGAGCAACTGAGCAGAGCCCTGTGCAGTCCCTTGGGTATCCCCACAGCCCCCACCAGGCCTTGCCCCCTCTCTAAGGGGATGCAGCACTTTGGAGGGACAGCAGCTGGGAATGGGTTGATGGGTGCAAGAGCAGAGCTGGATGCTCCTCATGCTTTTCATGGAAGGTTTGCAAATGTGCCAGAGCAAGGGGAACCCTCTAAGCAAATTACCATGCAGGATACAGCACATCCATCTCCACCTTCCTGCCCACAGTTTGTGCTTGGACACCTGCCCTGTCTCAGGGGGAGGAAGGGCAGGAAGGGCCAGCTCCTGGAGAGAAGCTATCCCACTCCACCACAAATTGGGTATGTGTATTGGAGAGGGGAAAGCAGTGGGTTTGTGTGTGTGGTGTTGTCAGCTCCCAGCCCTGCCCTGACATCACATTTAGCTGGTGCAGGAGTCAGATGAGGGCAGCCCAGCCTCTCCATACGGGTTAGGCAAGTAGAATTAATTTCCGCTTCCGTCCTAACTACACAGTCCTGGCCTTACTCCATGGTAGCAATTCTGCCCAGGGCATAGAAATTCACTGGCACATGCAATCTCTTTGGTCTTTGGGTTGCTTTTCTCTTTTGTTTTTCTTCTTTCTTTTATGCAGTTGTTAAGAATAGCCTGGATACCTTTGAGCTGAGGCACTTGTTTCCTAGATTGAGGGGAGAAGCAGGATAAATGGCTATGAAGAGACACAGGTGACTTTTCAACAAGCTTAGCAAACAAGCCTAAGTCTCAGGGTCTCTGCAAGGGCCTAGAAGCTCTTTTTACCTTAAAGGCTCATGGAAACAGACATTCAAGACCATTTAGGGCAGGCAAACAAATGAGGCTGAAGGCTTACCATCACCTTCCTTAGATCTCCCAGTCTTCCACTATAGCTGCCTTTCCTCCAGACATGCAGTGAGGGGGTGTGGGCTGGCTCGTGGGGTGCAGTGTGACATGCAGCGTGTCCATCTGTGGCCCCCTGTGCTGATTCAGCAAAGTGGTCTTTACTGTGGCCCTATCTGGAAATCTGGGGTAAGCCTGAGTACTTACCCCTACAGGGAACATCTTGCTGAGACTGTGTGCCTGTTCAGACTAGAAAAACCTGTATCAAGCCCTGCTGCTCTGTCAGCAGTATGCTCCTGCCACAGTCTCCATCCACTGGTGCCCTGGGCTTTCCCCATCACCTGTGTGCAGCAGATGCTTATGCTGTGGCTGTACAGCAGAGGCAAAACAGTTTTCCCACCCAGCCCAGTGTATTGGAATGTGAAAATGTTCCCAGTCACTATGAAGATCCCACATTTGCCTCTGGAATGCAACGATGCGTTAGGACTATTAGTTCTGAGGAGCTGATGCACTTTGAGCTCACACCATGTCTGACTGGCATAGCCTAAACTCCTTTTGTACCCTCCTCCTCCCAGCAAAATCCTGGCCATGTACAGGAATTAACACTGAGGTGTGTATCAGTATTTGGTGTGTATCAGTATTTGCCCAGGAGGCTGGTGTAGTTTGCTCTACATGATGTAGCTGATGGGACCCCCTGCGAGACAGCGGTGGGGAACCAGTGAGTTATGGTTCCATTAGAGGAGGTTAATCTAGTGGGGAACAGCATCTGGATTGCTGTCACAACTGAGGTGTTTTAGGGGATTTGAGCATAGATTTATTCACAGAAGCATGATCACTGTATAGGATATGCAAGGCACTTAGAGTTTTTCCACCTGTTTTAGTTAGCTCCTTAGCTCCTCAGCACACCACTTGGGACTAACTGTTTAAGGGGCATTCCCCAGAGCTGTACCGTCTTGCTCCGAGAGCTCATAATTGTGTAGAAATAACATCCAGGTGTTGAAAAAAGGAAAGTGCTTGTAGCTATTACCGTTGGTTATCTCCCAGCTCTACTTCACTGTGCAGTTTGTAAGTTGTCCCTGATATTTAAACAGGCTTTTAATAATCTTCCAGTATTGCATTTTTCTATGCTGGGAGAGGGAAAAGTTTGAGGGCTGTGAAATACCTTGAGCCATATCTTGCCAGAGGAGCAAATCCCCAAATTCAGTGGTCAGCATTTGGTACAAGAAAAGGAAAGTGAAATCCACATGGTCATCTTCCCCTGCATCCACTTTCAGCTCAGGCACACAGGAATGAGTCTGGGACTGTTTTTTGTTTCGTAACTAGAAACCTCTTTGTCTGTCCAACTTGATTTCATCAAATCTTACAGCCTGTGAGAGGACCGCAAGCCCAGCAGAGGCAGAAAGGCCATAGGACACATAGTGGTGACAGCAGCTACGGTTCCTCATGGTAACTAAAAACCCCTGTCTCTTCTGTCCTAGTCCTGGACACTGCGGGCCAGGAGGAGTTCAGTGCAATGCGGGAGCAGTACATGAGGACTGGAGATGGTTTCCTCATAGTCTACTCGGTGACAGACAAGGCGAGCTTCGAGCACGTGGACCGGTTCCACCAGCTGATCCTCCGAGTCAAGGACAGGTGGGTGCCACAGAATCACTGCCTGACCTGCCAGGCTCCTGTCCTGCAGACCATGCTGGGGGGGGGGCTTGCACATCTCGCCCCAACTTTTGCCCTCCAGGTCTCCTGAGAGAAATCTTTATGTGGGAGTTTGTGGACCTAAATGTGAGGAATAAGAAGTGTTTTACCTCTTCTATAAGCATATAGTGCTATCAATGTAGAAAGGTTCAGTGGTGTTATGATAGTATGAAAATGAGTCTGGAAGACAGAAAGTTCTGCCAGAATGGTCTGGCAGAACCATGTGAGAAAGGCAGAACAGACACCTTTGAAGGTAACCAGCTTGGCTCTGAAGAGGGAGGAAGGATGCTCTGTGCACAGTACAGACACTTTGGAAACACCAGCAGGGAGTCAGCAAACATTCAGCCCTAATTGTTTTGTGTGGCCTGACAGCATCCTCCTTTTCCCTGGCTTCATCTTCTGCCAAACAAACCTTAGAAGGTCTTGCATAATTTGGTGGTGTGAACAAGTGTCTTGAAGGAGAAAAAACTCGTGCTTCTCATGCTGGAAGGAACTGTATTTCTTACAAGGGTTGTAGTGCAGTTAATGCATCATGCTCTGCAGCAACCATTTTCACAGAATAAAACATCTCTGTGTGACTGGGGAGAAAGCCAGAGAGGTCATCTGCTCCCCTCCCATGTGCATGGGAGAGGGTACCACTGAGTTTAATCGTGGTAAGTAAATGTGTCCTGGCAGAGCGAGGGGAAGCTGCCGGTTTATCTCCAAGATAACTCCCTCTTCCCACCCCGGTCCAAGAGGCGATGGATCAATCTTCATTGGGTGGGGTGTGAATTAAGCCCTTATATGTCTGCAGCTTTGAAACACTTAGTTTTTCCGTTCATAATGACTTTTAATTATGGAAGTCATCAAGAAAAGTCACCAGAGGGTTCGGGCCTCATTGCTGGCTTCCTTTCACAGCTCTGAATAACTTCCCCACAGGAAGGGTGGACTCATATCATGTGAGGTTCACAGCTGACAGCTCTTCCAGTAAAGCATCCAAAGCAGAGCCCACAAGAGTGAAAAGTAAAGGAAAAAACACCCTTTGATTTCATCTAAATGAAGAAAAATGTCAGTCGCTCAGTCAGCCTCTCACATCACAGCAGTATTTTCTTCACTACCAGCTTAGCTTGGGGCAAAGTAAATCTGTTTCTGAAAGCTAAAGAAGATGGGACAGAATTTCCTGTAACATGCCCCAATTTGATGCTGGTTTTATCTAAATCAACTTTGTGAAAATAAGATGTGGTATTCATTGTTTTACCCTGCTCTGGACTGAAACTTTTACCCTCTGTAGGCTGTGCGAATGCCACAGCGGTGTGTGAGAGGCAGGAAGTGAAACAGGCTGGTGAGGTTGTTTGAGTTTCCCTGCTCAGCGCCACTGAAGCGCAGAGCGTGAGGAGCTTATTAATGCTTCATCTAAAACCTGAGCTCGGTCAGAAAATTGCAGCAGTGGGAGCAGCGTGAGTTAAAAACTGTCCTACCAAACCCACAGGTACCTGGGAGCAGAGAGACACCCCGGTTTTCAAGCTAGCAGGCAGTTTTGGCAACTTAAAATCCAAAAGAATTGCAGGCTGCTGTGTTAGCAGAGCTGTTCAAAGCCTGCCTCCCCTTTCTTTCCACAACTTTCATTATAGTAAAATTTCTGACTATAGCAGCTTTGTCCAACTAGCAATTGTACAGCTTACAATAGGGAACAAAGTCCCCATAGAGTTTTTATGCCTGATGTAAACAAGAAAAATGAGATACTTTCCATACGTAATCCCTTTCTAATCAATGTGCTGCAAGCCAAAAAGGAATCAAATAATCCAGACAAGCAAGTGTTTTGCTCCAGAATGATCAGAGTAAAGATTTGTTAGTGCTCAGGTATTAACATTAAATCACAGTCACATTATCAGAATGAATAACTCTAAGACTCAGTTAAAATGCAGAGTGCAGTACTGTATTTTTCCAGCCAGAGCAATGGGGCAACATGCCAGAGGGAAGATGGAGCCCTTATCATCTCGATGAAAAATGACCCAGAAATGCTGTTTGAAAATCCAGAGTTACTCAGGGAAGTGTTTTTTGCAGAAATGAGTGTGGCCAGCTGCTCCTTACCCCAATAAAATCAGCTCTGTTACAGCAGAGAACACCAGGATCATTTAAGAGGGTTTAAAGTTAAATATAAAACAATACTGCAGTAACTGTTGGTGATCAGAAGGGACCTCCTCCCTCCCAGCAGTGGCTAAAAGGCCCTGCCCTAAAAGGTTCCTTGCTCATGAAGCTGGAGGAGAGAGAGGCACTGCCAGCACCTCCCATGGCATGAGCTGCCTTTGTTCTGTTTATCACTGGAGCTGTGGAGATTTCTGCAGGGGGGGAGCCTTGCACAGGACATGCTATGGATAGATGGATCTCTTCTCAGGTGGTGGCTGCAGACAGTCACTTACATGTCTGGTAAAGTTAGAGAAATACTCAGTATTATTAGAGAGGTTTTGGTATTTTTTTCTGGAATTAGAAACAGGAGATGGTAGGTAATAGCTTCGGAAACTTGGCAATTCTCTTTGGTTCCCTCCAGCCTCCTTCAACCTACCACTGCCAGTCTTTCAGTTTGCCTTGGGGTAACAGCTGATGGGCATCTTTTTGCTCCCAGTCATTTTCTCCCCCATTTGATGCTACTCTAAGCACCACTTTCCAGAGTCTATCTTTTCTTCCCCCCACAGTGGTTGACCAGGACTCCAGTTTTTCTCTCAATATCTTGCAATGATGAGCAGCTGCCAAGATATGCAGTTACTGAGATGCCTTAAATGTTACAAAAGAGTCCCGGTCTCCTGTCCGAGATCTGTCTCTATGTCTCAGTTAATTTCCTGGCTAATTCTGTAGATCTTTTTTCACCTTAGCTATTATCAGGCATTGCAAAAATGGTGACAGTAAGTTCCCGAAGTCCCTAGAAATAACAATGAATGTGTTCATGCATGCAACTTGTTAAGTAAATTTTTACAATATGAACATATGTATAGCACAGTCTGGGGGTTTTTCGTTGTTTCTTTACACATGTGTGGTATGTCTGTAGCTGAAAATATTAGATGATGTCAGCATCAGAAAGTGAAACTTATGCTCAGCATTTTTTATTGTAGCCTGCTAATAATTGGGTGATGGGTTTGATTTTTTTTTTCCAGAGAGTCCTTTCCAATGATTTTGGTGGCAAACAAAGTTGATCTAATGCATTTACGGAAAATTACAAGAGAACAGGGAAGAGAAATGGCAACAAAACATAACGTAAGTTTGTGGGATTATTTAATGGGTTATTGTAAGTCCTATTACAGACATTCAGAATTGAAATCTGTGCTCATTTGGAGCTGAATTAAAGCTTACAATTAAACATTTGCAATTGCATTTTCGACTACTACTACAAAGTAGCAGCTATGCAGTTTCCTTTCAGTAGGGCCAGTTCATCACTGAAACAAGAAACTCTGCTGTGCACTAGGCTGTAGCAAAGCTGTGGTCATCACAAAGCCACATGTACAAGGTGAAAACATGAAATGTTCAGAATGAGGGAAGAAAGTGCACTCTCCTGGAGTGAAAAGGCAGAGTCGGGCATTACGAGATATACCCAGGTGTCTGTAGGAAGTGAGCTTGTTAAAGATAATGAAGTTACAGGGTTGTTAAGCCTGTATAAATCTGGCCTGCTATCTTAGCTCTGCATTATTCATGTTGTTAGTTTAGCCTGAGAAATTGGTCTTAGATGGGTGTAGATCACATGCTGCTCCACTAATCACCTCTAAATGCCAGCAGCCCTGAATACCCAGAGGGAGACAACAACTCCCTTAGGAGGAACAGAATGGAAAGGTTAAAGGCAAACAAGCCTGAGACCTCTTGGCAGCTTGCTGTGCCTAAACAGCAAGCTGTGTGTTGTTTCTGAACAAGCCACGATGGCAGTTTGGCAGGGCAGGTTCACTCCTTCCCCTCCCCAAGGAAGCTGGCTTCTGTAGGAGCCAGGACACCTAAAGTGAAGCACAGCATGTTGCATCCATCTGTACATGCACACTTTGGAAAAGACCAGGCATGAAAATACCTTATCAGAGGCAGTTTTATAAATCTGCCAGTGTGCTGGACAAGCACTCTAGGAGGCCCCATCTGGCTGTCAGACTTTGAAGGGGAAGATCATTTTACACTGGAGGGGAATTGTAGTCATGAAATATTCATGCAGTAGTCCTAATAAAATGTGGCAAGCAAGAATTTTTGGCAAGTGCTAGTCTTTCAACAACCTTCGGCTATTTTCATGTCTGCAAGCACAGCTAAGGGGGAGAGAACATCTGACGACATGAAGTCTCTGATTATTGTTCCCCAAACCCAGAGCTCTGATAGCAGCTAGTTTGCCTGGTGCTTATTCCAGACCTTTTGTAAGTGCTCCCTGACCTTGCTGCAAGCATGAAGGTGTTGATAGTGGTGTCATGGCAACATTCTGTTTACCTGTATTTCCCTGGTCTCTTAGGGACCCAATTTCTTCAGCCTTTAGGCCTTTCATTTTGAAACGGGTTTGCTACCAACATGTAGGCTGTTACTAATCTCTTTCATGACACTCTCCTCTCCTCCAGATTCCCTATATAGAAACTAGTGCCAAGGACCCACCTCTGAACGTTGACAAGGCCTTCCATGATCTCGTGAGAGTAATAAGGTAAGCTGCAAACTCTTCACTTGGTTACTGCTCATGGATGGGACGTGCAAGAGTCCTGGCTCAGAGAGCTAATGGGGAGCAGCGGCTAGGTTTGCTTGCAGTAGAAGATTTCTGGGGTTTATTAACTTTCTTGTCCTGTATCTGCATAGGTATGTTACAAGTACTTAGTTACCCATGCAGGACATCAGTGCCAGGCACATGAGGAACTAGCTGTGGCCATAATGAAAATATATTATTCAACAAACAGTGCAAAGCCTACTCTAATGATGAGCTGTAAAGGGCTGGTGTTGAAAGCTCTGGACCAGTAATTTGGGTTTTCATACTTTTGTCCTCTCAGGGTCTCCTATTGCCAGAGGTTAAAAAGGACTTGCAAAAAAATCTACAAAATTCTAATGTTGTAGCTGACTTCTAACATTTTCTGCTCACTAAATGGAAAAAATTAAGCCGCTTTGTATAAGAAACAGCATGACCTAATGGTTAAGCCACAGGTTTCCTCCTCAGACTGCAGAGGTTTGTTCCCAGTTTTGTCATGAGCTGCCTTTGCTCGTTTTGGCAAACGCCTGCTCTCTGGGCGAACCCCTGCTCCGGCTGCCAGCAGGGAGGGGCTGCCTTCCAAAATCCCGGCTCCCCTGCAGGAAAAGAGCTGCATGCACATCTCAGCATCTCTCTTGACTGATAACCTCAATTCTCTTTGAGAAGATTTGTTTTTCTGGCACCAGTTGTCTGGCAGATTTTCTGGAGCTTCATTTTTCATGTTTTGGGAGGGTGCTGAGCTGAAATCATGCTCCTCCCTGCCGTGCAGTCAAAGTGCCTCGCTCGGCAGTTAAACCACAAGGCATTTATTCACAGCATATCTGTACTTGTGAATATCCTAGCACAGCCTCAAGTCAGCCTCCATCAAAAGCAGATGGTACTGCCCACTCTTCCCACATGTCTCAAAAGCAGGGGGCAGAAAGTCTTTGGAGAACTGAGTTGGAAATGTCCCAAGCTCTTTCCCAACTGTTCTGTAGCTCAGCATTAGCTGGCTAGATATTACTTTTGTGTTGCAGCAAACTCTTACCACCATCTATTCTGCTCTGCAGGAAAGAAAAACATAGCCAAAATAAGATGGGAAGGCTCTGTTTGCTTTCTCTCCCTAACACAACTTCAGGCAGGCTGAAAGGAGAATTGTAATGAGGCATCACTAAATTTAAACGCTGAAAATGTACTCCATAACCTCAAAAATAGGTGGTATACCTCAGTTTCCTGAGTAGCCACCGTGAAAGTCATTGCCAACCGGGTAAAAACCCCCGTGACATCAAGGACATCAGAGATGTTCACAAGAGCTGAAACTTGGGTTAAATCAGGAAGCAGGGAGATGTTGTGTGATCTGGCTGGTCACTGGCCACTAAGCAGCTTCACTTGGTCTTTGGACATTATAGGATAGCATCACCCATCAAGTATTGCTTTTCTGTTTTTTAAGTCAGCTTTTCCAAATAAAATGTAAATTTCAGTACCCCAATAACTGTGTCATTCCTGGAGTGCTTTGCAAATGAAAGGCCTCCTCAGAGTCCCTCTGAGTTCTCAGGGTGAGGATGCTCGTTCAAGGCTGGCACTGTTTGTGCTCTTTGTATTTGGCTTGGTTTATTTAGCTTCATGCAAGAAACTGTTGTCTGGAAGTAATCCAGAAAGGAGTGGGGTGATTGAGTCCACCCAATAGATCTTTTCAATTTCCTGATGCCCCTTTTATGCAGTGCATGCACAGAGACTGTCACAGCAGAAACCTTGAGTGGGCACAGTATGTGGTTTTCTGCATCTCTGAAACAGTGTGAACAGCTTGTGGTCGCTTAGTGTTAATCCACATTCACTTTAAAGAATTTTTTTAATTTCATCTTCCTAGTTTTGAGCTTTAAGGTTTTAGGTTTTTCATGCCTCCAGCCTTCATATTCACTGAAAAAAAATCTTATTAGCCAAAGCTGACTTTTTCAGATGGTTGCAAGAATCTGGAAGCTGCGGCTGTAAGAAAAACACCAGTTAAAGCCATAGTGATTTGTGCCCCAGCTATGTGTCATCCTGGTCTGGATAACTTGGTATGAACACTAGGTTTAATGCCTGCCGTATTACATCACAGTCAGGCTGGTTTTGAACTATTCAGACTCTCAGGTTTGAATCTACAGGAGCTGCTAGTGTTTGTTTTATCTTGCAACAAAATCTAAGTCTACAGGCTGCCTATCAGGTGTTTGAGCCACAAACAATTCTGTTGAATTTGCACCACTGGGCTGGCTGAGTGGCTGCTGCAATCAGATACAGTTGCAAACAGGCATTTAGGCAATGCTGTGCCTTAGTGCAGGAGGGCTTTCAGCTGCATGTTTGTGGTGACTGTGAGTTCAGCCAGGACATCTTTCTGGGGTCAGCTCATTCTCTGTGCTGAGGTGCTCTTCACAACTTCCAGGGGAGACCAGAGCCCCATTGGCAGCAAACTTTTTTTTTTCTGTATTATTTTTAACCCCTCTCCATAACCAAGTCCTCAGCAGTACATCTGGCCAAGGGCAATGCCAGCTGAAAGAACATCTTTCCAAAAAATGTTCTTTCTCTGTATCTCTCTCATATCTCTCATGCTAACTACTGAGCGTTAGCAGCAGTGTGATGGGTGATGTTGCATTGCTTAGAGCATCCCTGTTTCTCATAGCAGGGGAGGAGGCAGCAGTTCACCCAGGGCAATTGGAGGCATATTGCCCTGGCAGGACATACATCCCTGCCATTAGCCTTAATTTTTGCTTGCGGCTCTTTCCTCCTTCCTTAAGGATGCAGGCGGTTGTCAGCTGTGTGGCAAGAAAAGCCATGCAGTGGTGGAAGGGTATATGGAGATATATACACAAATATCCTTGTGCACACCAAGGTGCTGTTCTGCAGTCTACCCTTATGTCTCACCTGCTTATTTTCCTCTCTATCTCCCAAAACAGGCAACAGATCCCAGAGAAAAGCCAGAAGAAGAAGAAAAAGACCAAATGGCGAGGGGACAGAGCCACGGGCTCCCACAAACTCCAGTGTGTGATTTTGTGATGGGACACCCTGTCAGTGCCTTGGACACCTCCCTCCTCCCCCCTTGACCCACCGCCAGCCCAGGCGAGGAGCAGCAGTGTGGTGCCAGCGCGGCCCCATCACCCCCTCGGGGTCCCTGCGGCAGCTCAGACTTGGAGGAGGCAGCTCGGAGGGTTCGGACATCCCCCCGAGGGGGCTGCACCTCAGGGCCAGTGTGGGAGCTGCACGAATGGGAGGCGGAAGGAATCAGCAGGACCTCGACTGTCGAACATCCCCAGCGCCTTCCAGGGGCCTCCATGATGTTTATTAAAAAAAAAAAAAAAAAAGGAAGAAGAAAAAAAAAAGAAAAAAAAAGTGTTGGTTTTATCTGCAAAACATTTCTCCTTGTGACCCATTTCTGAACAGCCATGAATAGCCCCCCTGTTTGGTACAGTCATCTGTGTATGTGTGGGGGAAGGGAAAGGGCTTTTCTTTCTCTAATTTTTTTTTTGTCCTCTTCTTCTTTCTCATTTTTTGCTCAGTGAGTGTTCGGTTGCAAAGAAACAATGGCCGGGGTTAGATTTTTTGCACTGAACTCTCTCTTGGGCGGCAGTGCCAAAACACGACTTCATATGAAAGTGCATAGATTTGGAGGAAGAAAATTAATTCCAGCTGCTCTGGGTGCTCCAGACATTGTGTCAGACTCTGGAGGGCTGCCAGCTCACAGACCATAAACTCCAGCTTAGGAAAGGAGGTTTGGGCTCGGATTATATTTTTTTTTCTTACCCTTTGTCAAGAGGTTTTGTTTCTGTTTTGTAACTTGGGACATGTCAAACTTAAGGTGTTTTGTTAACCTGGAAGTATTTAAATTAAAGTAATTTACAAATGGAAGGGTATGTCATCTTTAAGGCGGGGGGGGGAGAGGAAGGGAGAGAGGAAGTAAAACCTGAACTGAATTTGTTATCTGGGTGTTGAATTTCTCCCTCATAAATGCATGTAAACTGGTGCGATCTAAATCCCTGTTTATTATTCCTTAACCTTTCCCTGCAAAGCCACTCTTGGGTAGATGAATTGTTTTGCTTTTCCCAGGCTCATCTCACACACGGAGGAAAAAAAATCTGCTTATGGGCTTTGGCTCAACGTTTCTTCTTTTCCCTCCTTCTCTGAGAGCTGGTGACTTGAAAAGAAGAGGTGTTTTGAAAATGATTCAAGTGGGATGTGTCTCTTCATAAGTTTACTATATCTAAAATGTCTCCCTGAAAACAGCAAAGGTTAAGAATGCCTTATGAAAAGGCAAGGCAAAAAACCTGCAGCCATTCAAACTGCCATCTGTGGCACCAGAAATATGGCTGTGCACATCCTGGAGGGGCCACGTGTTCTTTCACACCTTTCCTGGCACTAAAAATGGCAGTGGCAAATTTGTCTTTAATTTAATGGAATGTCATCTCCTGGATTGAAGCCATCAGCTGCATTCACATGGTCACCAGGCCTCTTTAAAAGTAGCAACTTGCTTTTCATCAGCTTGAATCCTATTCAAATACACTTTGTGGGCATGACTTAAAATATTGGCAGAGTATGAATGCCTGAGATTTATGTGTCTGAGCACAGAAAATCCTGGTATTGGATATTGAAGATCCATTCAAGATGGTGGATCATCACAGACTTGTCTATTTGCCACCAGATTTCATTTCTTGACCCTTTGCCAGACCAGTTTTTAAAATGCGAGTTGGCATTTTTCAGGTGAATGAGGCTAATGGACACTTTTCCTAATTTGTCCAGTCTTGATCACAGCCAGAAGATGGCAAATGCCTGCAGCTGGCTCAGCAAGCTGCTTACTGTAATGCTGGCTCCACTGCCTCTGTCTCAGTTTGTGTGATGACAGACGCTGCGGGTGGATTAAGGAGAGGGATATTGGAAAGATGTGTCTCTCATGGACTCCTAGGTTGGATGTAGACCATACACTTAGTAAAGCTGCAGCATGCTGTGTCAGTCGAGATATGGCTCCCAACCATCGCAGCATTTCTCCCAGTGTTGGCTGAACTGTGGCGACCAAAACCACCTGGTTCAAATTCTGGTCCTTGAGACTTGCCACTGTCTTCTGGAGAAAGATCTGTCTGTAGGCATCTCATTTGTTCTGCCATGAAAACCTCTAGTAAATCAGGAGGAGTCTGATCTTTGCAACCAACGCATTTTGCTGTAACCTCTGTAACAACTTTCCTGTCAGAATCCCTGTTTAGCCTGACTGCTGGCTTAATAGTTTTAATTATACACAACTTGTGCTATGGAATCCCACATGCAAGAAGACAGTGGCATTTTCAGGGAGCACTTTTAATACCGCCCTAGAGCCCTTCCACTTAAAAATAACTTGATTTCTGCTGAAACCCCTCATCCTTATTATTTTTATCTAAACCCTTGGGAATACTTGCCTGAAAACAGCATGTGTGTCTCTTGAGTCACATCTGCCGCGTACTCAGCCCTGCATGTGAGAAATTATCTTTTTCTGAAGCTTCCTAATTGTTCCTTCATTTTCTTTAGCAACTAACAGCTATTGCAGAATAACAGAGGAGAGGAGGAGGGGAAAGGAGCAGATTAACAGCTGAATATGGAATAGTGGCAAACGGGGAAAGCATGCCCATTTTCTTCTATGTTCATCAGCTTGTTTATAGCAGGGAGTGTTTTCCAACAGGGATTGCATCTCTAACAATCCTAGGGAGCTGAAAATAGCAAGGTATACAAAGCCTACTGCCACCTAACTCACCCTTTCATGTTCAGGGCTCTTAGGAATCCAAGAGCACCTTCTCTGCTATGCAGAGCACCTCGAGACCTGGGTGGTGAGACACTGATTGGTGGCATTTACGCTACAGAGAGCGCCAACTGTGCTGGTGTGTGACTTATATTTTTCTATGGAGCATCCAGTGGATAGCAACATTTTTGCTGTAGTGAGAGTCTGGAGAAGGATCCTGTAAGGGTGCACATGGGGCACATTTCCAAGGACCTGATGGTCCAAGTGACCTAATGTCATCTTCAGCCCCTGGGTAAGTCTGCATTCCCTTGTCTCAGAACAATGTGGTTTCTCTTTGGTTAAATAGGAATTGACAAGGTGGAGCTGGCCATAGCCTTGCCTTGTTTTCAAGATACACTTTCAAACAAAATGAAAAAAGAAGAAGGGTAAAACTTTGCAGATTTATTGTCATTTAATAACCAAATAACCTCCTTTTTCCATTTTAGACATTGAATAATACTTGTAGAACAACAATAAAAAAACATTAAGCTAGGTAAGTTTTGGCTTTGCAAAGGTGTCATCACCTCCCCAGTCTGGGATCACATCACATGTGTACCACTGCCTTCAGGTAAATCATATTGCTGTTTCCTCCCTCAAGTCCTTCTGCCTATAAAGGAGCCACTGGCTTGTTTTTTTTACCAGCTTTTGAGGTGCATGACATTTATCGTACAAGCAAAGTCCATCTGCTTGTCTGGCTACCTTTGTCTCGTGTTTAAAGGAAAAGGGGGGTGGAAAGGAAAAGAAGGAAAAGTACCTGGTTAAAACACATAAGTTTTCCTCTGGCATGAGCAGAGTTTAATTATTCCTCTGCCAGCCAACTCTAAATGGCACAAAAGCCTGATAACAGCAAAAACAAACAACCTCCCCACACCTGAGCAGGCCTGCAGGTGGCAGCCACCTACAAACCTGCTTTCTGATTGTCTCAACTCAGGCCAGTGCTGCCACCAGCAAAGCTGCTCTTGTGATAGCCTGGGTACATCTGAGTAAACCATGTTCAGATGATGGTGCTCAGCAGCAAAACATTGTAGATGGTGGACTAGAGAAGCAAGACTTTAACGAGGGGCTGAAATTGCTTGGTTTGGATCAGATGTTTCGGTTTAACAAGAGGCCATTGCCGTATGTTGCTCGGTTCCTTAATCTGTCGTGATTAATTTTGGATGGCTCTTTTAACCTACAGCTGTACTAGAGTTTGCAAATTAGGACAGGCTGAGGGGTTTAGACATACATGGTGTGTCTCGTCTCAAGAGGAAATGAGCATTACTAGGCACAGAGAGGACAGCTTTGTAATGCTAGTTCAGACTTTTTCTTTTGTCTTGTTACCGTCCTTAGGCCAAAACAGACTGCCCAGAGCCTTGTTCAGCTCCAGTGATTTCAAGGGATGGTCCTTAGTGCTACTGAAGTGCTTGGTAAGGAGGCTATCCCCTCAAAGCTCTGCTAAGAGTAGAATATAAAGAGGAATACAGAAGATAAGAGAATTTTGAGAGACACAACTTGCAGTTTACTCCAGGGTTTAGATACCTATTTACTAAGGAGGGAGAGGGAGGGCTTGAGAGCAGTTTGGCGTTAGAGAAATAGCCAAGCCCCTGTGACAACTGTATACCTTGGAATGGACAGAAGAGCTCTGTGTCTGGAAATCCACCTTCTGTGAGCTGGGGTTCAGTGGTCAATGTACTCTATCTGCTGTAGGCTGGGCAGAAAGGAGGACTTCTAGTGCATGCATTAAGGACTGCATTAGAGCTACACAGCAAACATGACAGTAAAAAGAAGAGGAAGGGTGCTGCAGCATGGAGAGTGTTGCCATTCTTAGTCACTGCTCCCTGCATTGGAAGATCTGCTGGGGACAGCAGTCACACAGGCTAAATTCTGTGTCTTGCATGTATGTATTTAATGCCATCTGAGAGTATCCAGGGCATTTGCCTGGGAGTTCCAGCTGTAACACAAGAATTATAGGAGATCAGTGCCCTTCTGAAGCAACAGCCATGAGCCAGGCCAGATTCATCTGAGCATCTGAATTGGCTCCAGACATGTGTCTTCAGGCAGCTCACAGGTGCTTTGAGAGCCCTTTCCTATTTCACAGCAGTGCTCAGAGAAAAGTCTGTGGGTATTTCCAGTGTCTGTGGATATCCTAGTTGTTCTCCTGCAAAGTGATGTCACTTGTGTTTTAGAGGCTCACTGATGCATCAAAAAGTCTGAAGTAGAAGTCACCAATTTCGCAAAATGTATTAATTGCATCTTGCAGCCTAAGCGATCTCCTGAGTATCACTTGCACAATTAGGCTGTAAATAATTCAATATTTGGCTATCAGGGATTCCATCAATATTATGCAGGCTTTTTGCTTCCTTTTCTCTTCCATGCAATGGGAATAAATATTTCATAGATGATCTCACAGACAGTTTCTGGGATGACATGGGACTTGCTTGCCTCAGAACAGAGCAGAGAACTAGATGACTCTGTGTGTGCTGGATCCCACGATGGAGAGACACAAGATATTGCAGCACAGAGGTAGGCTCTGGTTTGGGGAGGTTTCCCACCATTGTGGCAAATAACTGGTGCTTCTCTCCAGC